CTGAGGCAGCAGGTGGAAGCCTTGCAGGGGCAGGTAGGACACCTGCAGAGAGCCTTCCTTCAGTATAAGAAAAGTGAGTTCTGGACCTGGAACTGAACCTGAGCCAGTCGCCAAGGGCAGGCCCAGGTGGGGTCTGTGTTGGGTTTGGAGTTGGCCAGGCCTGAGGCAGGCCTAGTTCTAGGATTGGGGGTTCTAAGGGGGTGGAGGGTTTGGACGATGGGCTGGACCTGGGCCTTGGGCAGGACCTGGGACTAAGGATAGAGTGGGGCAGAGCAGAGCAGCCACATCTTCCAGGAGCTGGAGCAGATGCCAGGGACACGGAGCAGGGTGTGGCACCTACACCAGTTCAGTGGGCTGGCGCCAGCATGTTCAAGGCTACCAGGCTCCAGCCCCCACCATCACAGCCACCTGTGACCCGAGTCAGATCAATGCCCCAAGCCCATTGCAATTCAGACTTCCCCTCCTGCCAACCTATGCTGGTCCCTGGACACCCCACTGCCCAGGATGCATTTCTTATCTCTATGGGGCTGGGTGTGCAAACTCCTCAAGATGTTGTGCCCAGCCCACAGCAGAAGTGACTCGAGACACTGTCCTGAGAGTTGGGGCTGGGATGCTGTGCTTGCATTCAAGGCTGTGAGGGTCTGACCTTGGCATGTGGCCATTGAGAGTCTCACCTGAGACAGGCCCTGGGTCCGGCAGGGGGCAGGCTGCCTCTGGGCTCTGCCAGTGCTGGGCTCTCCCGCTGCTCCCTGGGTGTTCATGGTGGAGACTCTCCCCTAACCTGGGTGCTGAGGAGTCAGAGGCTCCAGCAGCACAACCCAGTGCCTGTGCCTGTGGGCATCTCCACCTCAGTCCCTAATTTCCGCCCCTCCTCCCCGCTTTCCCCATGTCAGCTTTGAGCTCAAGTAATTCAGTAAATCTCAATGATCCAAAGAGGAGTTTCTGTAGGAGGAGAGCACACAGGGGTGAGAATTAGGGCTCCTATGTACCTAAAACCACTAAGTACCCATGTACCAAGGGTGAGGTTTCAAACATTTAGTATATCTCCCTCTCTCCACAAACATGCATGTGTGCTCACTCCCTCATATGCACACTTAGGAAAACAAAGGAAAATTCGTGATATACACCTGCCACACATGTGTGTATTACACACATGCCATCACTCACCTCACATCATCTACACCCATGAGCACCCACGCATATACAACATAGAAGGTGGACCTTCAGTGCTCCCATGTACCTTCAGATGGACACGTGGCCATATTCGTGTATGCACACACAGACCCACCCGGGTGCATGTAGTGAATGGCAGAGGAACTCCTGTCCAGGGCTGCTCTGGATGCCCTCCTGAGCCTGTGGAGTGTCTGCCCCCTGAACCCTTGTGGAAGGGTCACAGTGGGTCAGGGTGCAGCCTGGGCTCCTCACCAGCCCTTTGGGACTGGAGCCCAGCCCTCTCAGGAGCCCTGAAGGCTTGTATGCACGAACCCAGAAGTCAAAGGCAGCGTGGCCCAGTGGTTGATTGTCGGCCTATGAACCAGGCGGCCTATGAACCAGGAGATCATGGGTCCATCCCTAGTTAGAGCATGTGCCTGGGCTATGGGCGTGCAGGAGGCAGCCAATCAATGATTCTCCGTCATGTCTCCCTCTCCCTTCCTCTCTGACATCACTAAAAAAAATTAAAGCAAAAATTAAAGCACACACACACACACACACACACACACAATAACAACAACAGCAACAACAAAGGGATAGAAAATGAGATGGAATGAAAACATATAGTTAAATGTCACACAGTGATGTTTTTATAAATTGTATTCCCATCTTAGAGATGAGGAACTGGAAACCCTGAAAAAGGAAGTGACTTTCCCTTGTCCACCTGGACAGTCATGGCCAAGGCGGGGCTGAATACCTGGCCCTCTGACTCCCAGACAGGCCTCTCTCCAGCACTGACTCTCTCCTGCCCCTGACGCCCATGCACACCTCTCAGCTGTCCTTGTCCTCTCTCCCAGCTCTCCAGCCTCCCCCACATGCACACCTAGAGGCCAGCACTGGGCGCACACAGTGCAGAGATTAGCACAGCACTGCCCTCAGATGGTCCACCCTCTCCTCTTCTTTCCCACATGCACACCCGGCACGGACCTCCCTGTCAATGCCACATGCCCTGCTGTTATGCAGGGTCCACAGTGAGATCAGTGAGCACCTTCCTTGTTTCCAGCTCTCAGAGGCTGCACGATGCCAAAGCTTCCTGGTCCCACCCAATACCTGGGAGAGCGATTCAGCCATGCAACATGGGGTGATATAGGAAGTACACGTCTCAGCTCTAGTGTGAGATCAGATAAGGGTGACCCCCAACTCTACATGTGATGGTCACATGATGTTGAGCCTCTTACTTAACCTCTCTGAGCCCAGTGTTCTCACCTGTAACTAGACAGGCAGATCAACCTCCCAGAGCGCACCGCGGACCCAGGGTCTCACCTTAGTCCTTCCTGGTGCTCTGAGGCCCTATATGGGAGGCCTGGGCTCTGGTTGGAGCACAAAGGTCTCAGAGCCATGGAGCTTTGGCAGGTGCCCCCAGAACCCCAACCTGACTGTGCTCTCCTCCTAGTGGAGCTCTTCCTCCATGGCCAAAGTGTTGGCCAGAAGGTCTTCAAGACAGCAAGGTTTGTAAAGCCTTTCCAGGAGGCACAGCAAGTGTGTGCACAGGCCGGGGGGCAGCTGCCCTCCCCACGAAATGCAGCTGAGAACGAGGCCTTGAAACAGCTGGTTGAGATTGAGAACAAGGGTGCTGCATTCCTGAGCATGACTGACTCCCAGACGGAGGGCAAGTTCATCTATCCAGGAGGGGAGTCCCTGGTCTATTCAAACTGGGCCTCTGGTGAGCCCAACAACTATCGCGACATGGAGGACTGTGCGGAGATGTACACCAATGGCCAGTGGAACGACGGGCCCTGTGGGGAGAAGCGCCTTGTGGTCTGCGAGTTCTGTGCCCTTGGGGTGGGTGAGGCAGCCTTGGTCCAGGAGCCTGGCCCAGACCTGTGTGCTGCCAACATGACAACGAAGAGCTGACATCACTGTGGCTGGGCTTCTGCACAGAGCTGTGGGATGAGGCCAGCCAAGGGCTCCCATGGAACTCCTCTCTCAGAATAAAATACGAAACTGGCTTCACACACTGGCTGATCTGGCAGAGGAATTAGGGGCCAGCCTGCTTTCCCAGTTGCAAGGGATAAAATTAGGCCCCAAAATCTAAAGCTCCTCCTCAGCCCTCTGCCTCCTCAAACTGTCAATCCAGCAAGTCACTCCCTCCTCTGTCACTCCCTGCTCTGTCACTCCCTCCTCTGTCACTCCCTCCTCTGTCACTCCCTCCTCTGTCACTCCCTCCTCTGTCACTCCCTCCTCTGTCACTCCCTCCTCTGTCACTCCCTCCTCTGTCACTCCCTCCTCTGTCACTCCCTCCTCTGTCACTCCCTCCTCTGTCACTCCCTCCTCTGTCACTCCCTCCTCTTGCTTTGGTGTCCCCTTATGGCAGTTCCTTATCTTCCTCTTTTGCTAGCCCCTCCTTCTCTGCTTGACCTCTTACTGGTAACCTGCTCAAGCCTTAGCTCTCAGTTCTCTCCCCTCCTCACCCTCACTCCAGGGATGAGCTCATTCTGTCCAGGGCTCAGATCCCTGGCACCCACATTACATGCCTGCCCAGGACCACCTGGGGCCCGGACCCCTTGGCCAATGCCAGCTGGAGCCCCAGGGCTGGGCGGTTCCAGTGGCTGCTCCTTGTTTCAAGGCCTGAGCCCCTGAAGGAGCACAGTGCTGTGGGCTGACCTGGCAGGTCATCTGCCTCCCTGGCAGGACTGTGTGGCCCAGTTGAGTAGCCTCCTCCGCATCCCTGCACACCAGGACCTCATTCTACCCTGTCATTGTGACTGCCTGTCGGCTCATGGGAGGGAGTCCCACCTGCACAATCCCCATTCCAGCGGAGATCTCAGGCACAGAGGGTCCAGCCACGCTCAGCTTCACCCCCAGCCCTTCCCTGGCCTCAGTCCAGGAGGTTCTTCCCCCAGGCCGCCTCGCAGACAGCTGGGCAGTTCCTCCTCCTCCTCCCACAGAGAGGGGGAAGTGGGGGAGAGACTTGCTCAAGGCCCCAGGTGTGTCAGTGCTACAACTTGGTCACGGGAAAGGACATCTAATTCCAAACCTTATAATTCTGGCCTGTCAACTTTTAGGCCAAAGGCCTCTGTATTCCAGTTGATTTTAATGACACTTGTGCTTAAGAAATTGGAATGACAGCCGAATGAAGCACAGGCTCATAGGAGAGACAACAAGACAGGAAACCAGCCCTCCTTTGTTCCCAGGGACCGGAGGCCACACCCCTCTTCCCACCACTCACAGCCACACCTCAGATGTAGGACAGCAGGTCTGAAAGCAAAAAGCCACATCTAATACCCATGGTGTCAGATGGGTAGGAGATTGACGGGAATGATCAATTAGTTGAGGAGGCAGAGGGCTTAGTAAGTTATGTAATGACTATCCACTAGGATGTACAGCTGAAGTTAATATCACACAGTATGTCACCTCTAATTTAAAAATGAAAAATAATTTAAATAAATAAAGTGATTATTGATAGGTAAAAAAGGAAAAACGTAAACCACATCTCCCAACAGCACACAGCTCAGTCTCTCTGCTGAGACCTTTTTCCTATTACTGGAAAAAAAAAAGCCCCAAGTCCTGGCAGCTTCTGAAATATGTCAGTTATGCAGCAGTGGGCAAATACTATTCAATTCAGAAGTTACACCTGGACAGCATCTGCCAGGGAGCTTAAAAAGGTATTTCATTGCAAATAGAAAGGAAAAAGCAGTGGATATGGTTTAAGCCCAGGGAGGCATTTTTTGTAAGAATGAAGAGTTCTGAGGTGGCTCAAGGACTGCGGGTGCACAAGCAGCGCTGTGCGGTCTCCCTGCTTCTGCCTCTGTGCATCCTCGCCTCTCTTCCTCCCTCTCCCACCACCTTCTTCTCCTTCTGGCTCTCAGCTGCCCAAGCACAGAGTCATGTGTCACACAGAGATCAGAAACGCTTGCTGGATATCAGGTCAAAATTCCTGTGGAAGTGAATCTGCCTGTCTCAGATGCCCACCTCTGGCCCAACAGAATAGGCCTGGGGTGGACCCCACAGCACAGTATGGCCATTGGGACCCATGGAAGGTCATGGTGGTCTGGCAGTCCCTCTAAAAGTGACCACTTTCCATCCCAGCACATAAGGCAACCCATTTCTTTGACGAAAGTGGAGGTAAATTGCATAACTGACTCAATGTGAAGAAAAGATGTGTCCTGTAGGGTTGAAGGACAGGAATGTGGAGACCCCAGGCCCTGGGAGAAGCTTTAGATCCACCTCAGCACGGGGTCTGGTTCACTCTCCAGCACAGAGAACAAGTAAGGAGGGTCATTTGAGTTCTGTAGACACAGCCCAGCAAAAGCCAAGGACTAAGGCAAGTATTTCAGAAAATTCAGGTTTTCAACCTTTCTTAGCACAGAGACCTCTCCTACACTCACATTCATAGGCAGAGGTGAACACGGGCATTAAACAGCATTAGCCCTGCCCCACACATAGTAGCCTTGTTCCCTAGTGTAGTAGCCTGGGTGCCAAGTGAAGCCAGGACTGCATGACTCTGACCTCTCAGGAGATGCTGTGACCCTCACAGTGACAGGTGACGTCCTGGGAGCAGCCTGGGGTCCTTCCACGTGCAGAGGGTGACAACCACAGCAGCTCCATGGGGAAGCCCCTGCTCAGTTCAGTAGTATATTCTCAGATCACCTCCTGGTTCTCAACCCTCCTGCTCCTCAACCAACCCACTTCCCAGCATGAACTGACAGTGGGGCGCACCCTGATGTTTGCTGGTGTTAGGGTCTTCTATCTTTGTCCTGAATTCCCTCAGTATAAAACACCAAGAACTGTGTTGCTTTAAGTTGAGGGCCTTCTCAATCTCTCTTATCTTCTGGATATCTTTAATTCAAGCTTACTGGTGTGCTTGACCTTTTCAAACTACTGGTGTTTATATACTAGAGCCAACAACCCAGGTATCTACTAGAGGGGACAATATATTTATAAGCTAAATATCTATCCAGGCCCCTAATCATACCCTCATAGATGCTATAAGCCCTGAGCATCCCTGATATGAGGGATAAGCTGAAGAACTGTGTTCCTGCACACAATAGAGGCGCTCAACAAGATTTGAAATGAGTGGATGATTGTAAAACCTTTTAACCAGGAGAATATAGACTCATGACTTTGTGCAATTAGCAAGTTACTCAGAGACCAAAACACTTCTTATTATTGTCCACGCCGTTTCTATTAGGCCCCCTTATGGCCAATATCTGGTGTCTTCTCGTAGGTTTTACTGCTGTTGGTTTTGTGTGTTTGTGAATATTTCAATCCTAGAGACCTGTGTCCCTTCTGGGTAGAAGCAGATAAGGGCAGGTGCACTGTCTGAAACGCCCTATTCTCCCCTGCCATGGTGGTTATAACAGCAGCATTGCTGGTTATAACATGTTGTGTAACCCGGCATTCCCGAAACCTGAGCAAATGCAGGGGAAATAGTTGCTCTTGAAGATCACTTGGATGGATCTACCTGAACCTTGAGTGAGATTTGGAGGTTGTCACTGCAGCATACGTAGCCCTTCTTTACTGCACAAATTTTGAATATTAACTTACTTGACTTTTAGTTACCTAAGCAATATAGTCTCTCTCAGGCTGCCTGACTCAAACAACCTTGAGCCACAAAGGGACTCACAAGGGCCCTCCCTACCTGAGCAAAACGGTACTTTTCATATTTATTCAGTAAGAAGACAGAGTGAAAAAATGAAAGGGTTGAGTGAATGAAATCCTGATTTCCTATTTGTAAGCCTGTTTGTACGGTAGAATAAAGTGTTTTCAAGACATTTCCAGGCCCATTGACCTAAGGAAATAGCACTGTGACCCCACTGCCTGCCTCCCTGCACTTTTATTAATTCCCTGAATGCTTCATTTCACATGTAAGTGGCAGGGGTCAGGCCAAGGCCAAAGGTCAGATGGCAACTTCAGGCCAAGGGAATGCGTTCTGTGATCAGAGGGCTGGATGGGGGCAGGAAGAGGAGGGTACAAGCACTGCTGAGTTTTGAGCAAGCCCAGGACGCCTGGCCCTGGCCACAGAGGGCCTGACAGGATAGGAAGAGCATGAGAGGGATGTGAGTTCTCCAAAGACTCAGTTCCAAAACAGAGTGAGGCTGGGAGGACCTCATCAGAAGGTCTTATGATAGAATAAACAACCTAGAATAGTCAGAAAAATTACTTAGAAAACAATGAGAATGGAGTTGGTCCTCTTATGTTAAAAAGTTTTATAAAACTAACATAATTGTAAAAGTGTGTTACTAACAAAGAACTACATAGACCAAATGTAAAGGCCACCAAAACCAGGGCCACATATGTCTGTACATATATGTCATATATGCATGATAAAAATAGATTGCCAAGGTTATAGGAAAATAATGAATTGTTCAATTAATAATTCTCAGTTAATTAGGTAAACATTTAGAGGAAAAATAAAATCAGAATTAAAATATAAAACTTCTCTGCTAAAAAGTAAAACACTGTAAGATTAAAATGAAATGCTCATTTATTTGCAAAGTATATAACACACAAATCAACAAGAAAATGGTGAATATCAAAATAGGAATGAGAAGAGAAATATCTAAGAATGAGAAGAGAAAATTCATGAAATAACATATATTGATGGCCAATAGTAATGAAACATGAAAAAATGTACAATCTTAGTAGTAATTAAAGAAATTCAAATTAAACAGCAATAAGCATTCAAAAATTTATGGACTAGAGTTCAAACTATACTAGAGGAAAATGTACTTTACTTTCATTATTAAAAATGACAAAATAAAAGCATGGACATTGAGTGTGGTGTTAAGCCATCTCTGGAGCATCTATTCATCCTTTATCTCAGACTGTGGGTGTTTCCGCCTCTGGACTCCTCAGACTCCTCCATATGGTGCACTCAAAATGCACCCCACCTTTCCAGGTCACTGCCATTGGAATGTTTGGAAACCAGACCTCATCAGTGTAAGGGGATATGATCCCCTAGGACAGGGGTGGGCAACCCCTGGCATGGGTGCCAAACATG